TATCTAAAACAAAAAGACTGCCACTTCAACCTGTAGTCCTGTATATGGAACCTTTTTGTTTTAATCAAAGTTACTGATGTGTCTACTGTAAAACTAATTTGACAAGTCATTTAAGATGAATCTTCTAGTTTTTGACACACAAATTATTATTTTTCTTAGTATAATGATCATCGGATGTTAAAATTTATATAAGTGTTAAAGTCCATTCTATGTTTTGCTTCATCTTGAAGTAAATGGAGTTACCTCTTAAATTTAAGTGTCAAGTATAAATGAGGGCATTCTTAGATCTTTTGTTACTTTAAAATGTCTTGGTGTTGTCTTTAATTATATAAAAATAAGTGCAATTTAGGTTAGAGAACTGAGATTGAAGCTAAGCAGTGCATATACCCACAGTGAAAATGCAGAGGTGAGGCTGGAAGAAGCCACGTCTCCTTGGGCTTGCAATTACCTGGGTGCCTCTGTGTGTTGCCTTTTTAGCTTTTGCATGTTTCCCAAAGGCACTCCTCAACACTATTTTTAAACTCCACAGTAATTTACTAGTTAAAAATAGCTCAATAATTTGGGGGGAGTATTGTTTTCAGCAAAGCTGAGCTCCTCTGCTTGTTAGCCTTGAGCAAGCTGCAAATCTCTGCTTGCCTCAGTTTCCCCCATAGGCAAAAGGAGGTTAATAACCACCTCAGAGATCTTTGAGATGGAATGGATTGCTTTTTGTAAGAATAAAGTGCTGTAATTATTATTGCTATTATTGTTGTACCTGTTCTGTGTGTTTTAAAGTTTAGGGTGATACAATTAAATAAGGCTCCACGTCTCTGCAAAGACAGTGATGACTCCAGAGGGCAAGTCAGACCACCAAAATTAGGCTTTTAATTTTGAAATTATTCCAGTCAGGATTTAATTCAGTCCAGTCCTCTGGAGATTTCAGTCTTTTTCCAATACTTGTGGAGAAAATACAGCAAAGTTTAAATTCCATCTCTAAGTTGAATTCATCTTGCTGAACTTCAGCAGTGTAAAAGATAGGTGCCTTGTGTAATGGTAGCTACTATCTTTTGTTTCCTGTGATAAAGTACTGCTGTGCATTGATACACCACTGTTGCAGTGCAAAGGTACAGTGCTTCTTACAGGATTGCTGTTCTTAACCTACAGCTAAAATGTTACAGTTGATTCCCCTTTTTTACTTGTGCTCCATTATAATGAATTAAGGGATGATAGGAGTGTGGATCTTGCAGCACAGTTTAGACTGCTGAATATTGAGATGTGGCACTATGAAAAACATGGGAGTGGCTAGCAGATAAGAAATTACTGAGTTTTCTGTGTTGCAAGATGAAAGTTGATATGCGTGGGCCTGGATTTTTGTGCATGTGGCTTTTGATTTAGTTGTCCTGAGCGGAATTAGTTTTGATGAGCTGGGTAAAATAAGGGAGAATTGGACACTTGGAAATGCTGTCCCGGTGGTGATGTCTGCCTCTGAATTATTTTAAACAAAAAAAAAAAAAAAAAAAAAGGGGGAGCAGTCTTTTACTCCTCCTGTTAACATTAAATGTCAACAGTTGTATCTTGTTGCTGGTACTTACTAACTTTCAGTCTTGTCTTTTTCAAGCATTTATTGTTTTATAAATGAATTAAAGCTTAGCACCAGGGAAATTTAAGTCTTTCAACTACCTTGGCTTCTCAAAAGATGTGACTTTTCTTAAATAGATTATTTAAATTACTGACCAGGGAACCTCCTAATTGTGCTACATTAAATTTTGATTCTGGCATGGTTTGTTTTGGTGTCTGTTTTTCTATCTGTTGAAATCCTGCTAAAGTCAGTAATTATGAGGAGTGACTCTACTGTAAAGAAAAGATGATAAGTTACAACCATGGTTGTTAATCCTTTTACCTTTTCAGCCTGAGAGCATTTTTTCACTTATTTCCTAGCTGAAGCCAGTTGTCCTTATTTCTTGGTACCACACACTCACTTCGCATCACATCATCAGATAATCACATAGTTGGCTAGGGAAGTATTATTTATTTCCAACTTTAACCTCTCCTGTCCCGTCCCTGTAGCACTGAAAAGGAAAAAGGCTTTTGGGAACAGAGCATTTTTAGAGCATTTTTTTAACATGCCTTTGCTGCAACCTTCATCTAGTTGTAATTGTCTACAACTTAGTTATTGGTTTGGTTTTGGTTTGTTTGTTTTTTTGTTTTTTTTTGGTTTTTTTTAAACACACAGTCATTTATTGCTTATTTCTTCTTCTATCCATGCTTGGAATCCTAAGATCTGTTGCAGCATCGTCACCATTATCTTGGCGATAGGTATGGATAACCCTAGTGTCAGTGGGTCTTTCGTTTCCAAATCTGATTCTGAAAGGCAAGACTGAGAAAAGCAAAAATAGATCTCTGCTGTGATTGCTTTGTAAATAGGCAACTTATTTTTTCTAGACTGTTAAATTGGTGGCTATGACACTGACAAAATTACAGTATGTAAATTATATTGAAAATATTTTTGTCTGTTTGATGTATACTAAATTTAAGCTAAGTTATAAGGTGTGCTGTTTGGAAGTGTGGAAGATACAAGAGTGGAGCTACAGATAACAAGTTTATGCTTGTATTTCCTACTGATGAAGACTTTCACACAAGTTATTTCTATGGGTAGGTGATGAGAATATCACTCTGCATGTATATACATTTATTATACATTTTTGCATGATTATACATGTAGGAGTGGTACAATTTTGACTTGAGACTATTGGTGCCTTTTGTCCAAATATAATTTTACTTGTGTAGACACATCTATCTAAAATCAAATTTCGCTTCTGCTTTTGGAGATCTTAGTAAGAAGCAAAACAGAGACCTGAAAGAACAGTACATAGCTCCTGAAATTTTAGGTAACCTATTGAAAAAATGGTCAAATAGTCAATATTGTACTTGACCCTCGTATCTTCTGCACTCAACTGTTTATTTTTATAGCTCACATTATATATGTTCACACTGAACTCTGATGATAAGACTGAAAGAAAACATACCTCTCATGATTCAGTCCAGTTGTAACTTCTGCATGTAATTTAATCATCAGCTTTCACAAATAATTAACTGAACATCAGCCAGCTTAATTTTGAACTTGGTATTCCATTATTTTGCATATACCTTTTAAAAAGAGAAAGATTGCCTTTCAGTTAATTATCGGGACTTCTTTTCCAGTCATAATCATCAGCGTTTCATGTTGCGAACAATTTGGTCTTTAATACATTGGCATTTAACTACCCATGATTTTTGTTGGGTCTGTTTTAAGTTTGTAATACAACATTGTTTTATGAAATTGTTGTTTTGGAGGCAGGTCTGATCTGAAATATTTTGTGAATTTCTTCATACCTTGTTGCAAAACTGATCTTTAGTACAGCTTAAGCAATATGGTCACTCTTTAATGAAGTGTGTTGCTAATCACAAAATAGGCATTTCTTAAAATAGTGAGTTATGTTTAAGGGACCAGGTTACAAAAAAAAAAAAAAAAACAAAAAAACAAAACAACAAAACCAAACCAACCAAAAAAAACCCTTCAAACCCCAAAACAAACAAACAAAACCCCCCACCCTAAAAACCTCAGTAGAAACAGCTTTTCAGAGAACTAAATTTCAAACTTTTATTTCATCATGTTCTTTCTCTCTTCAGCAGCCATTTAACACTCCTAAAAGAAACCAGTCTGTCCTGAAAAGTGTTTTCATTTTATTCTTTGTGGCTTTTAAAAATTTCTTTAGTCATTTTGTAACTCTGGACATCCTATCTTCCTAAACACATTATTAGTTATGATTACTTTGTATTATCCCTTACAAATTACACCCTTTATGTGTCATACCCATAACAGAAAAGTTCTGCAGAAGCTCGACTGCCAGAACTTCCTTGGAGTTAAAGAATTGCACTAGTAAAGCAGCTGAGATTTGGCCCAGCCTGTTTTTGTATTTTGTATTTGTTTTTGTAGATGAAGTCTTGGCCCAAAGAAAGTTTTATTTTCTCATTTGGGGAGTGGGAACTCTTACTACATTCATCCACTTTGAGTTGATGAGCTGTAGCAGTGACAAGGCATTTGGGTGAAAATGTGCATCCTTTGAGAATTACAATATTTACCTGTTCTCTCTTTGCTTCCACATTAATCCTTGTCATAAATTTGACTTTTTCCTGAGCCTCTTCTGTTTCTAGCATGCTTTCCAATTATAAGTGATTTTCATTCCTCACAAAGAAAATAGTCCATCCTAACAAAATAGACAAAAAACAGCTTTTTGTTATTCCTCAAGAACAGATTTCATAATCACATAAGCAGTTTTCTCCCTCTTTTCCCCTTCACTTTTGTGGGCAAAAATGCATATGGTAATCATATTGAATTAAAAGCATATTTATCACTGCACACTATAGTTTTGTTTCTTGTAATTCTTGATCTTAAAAACAAACAAACAAACAAACAAACAAAAAAAACCACAAAACATTGCCATTTTGAAAAATTCCCCTGTTCTTGACAGGTAAATGTTATGAAAGGAAAGTTGCCTAATGTTAAAGTTACTGTCACTGGATCAGTTATATCAAAAAGTTAGTTTTATTCAGTCTGCCCTAAAGTAATGTAAGCTGTAAACTGAGTTTTGTAAAATTCTCTAGATAAATATCTTGTCTTGCCAAATTTTGTGTCCTGTAACATTTTTTATTTTAAAGTGAAGATTTTAACCTTTTAAAATTGTAAATGTAACATTGTCAGATACGAAGATGTTTATGTGTTAATGTAAAAAATAATACACAAATAACTGATACACTGATAAATGTGGTTTTCTTACATTTATGTTTTCTGTGTATGCAAAAGTTAAAATGTCTCTGTAATCGCAGACTTCATTAACTGAAGTTTAATAATTCATATATAGTTCTTTAAGAGCTTCATGTAGGAGATTGCATTAATCCTTAAACAAATGATTTTTACTTTTAAAAGTGTCTTTCACAGTATGCTGAGTTCTAATCCACATTGCTTTTCTCTCCTTCTGCAGATGGACCTCCAGTTGTAGCTCATTATGATATATCAGACACAAATTCAGACCCAGAAGTGGTAAATGTGGACAATCTGTTGGCAGCTGCAGTAGTTCAAGAGCACAATAATTCTTTAGGAAATCAAGACTCAGGATCTACTTGGAGAACCAGAGGGCTGCTAGATGAACTGAGTGCTGATACAGGTTTGTTTAAATTCTCTTTCTCTGATGCTTGTTCCAGTATCTCAGTTGATGTCTTTCCCTTTCTTGCTTTCCGTATTTTTGTAGTTTATATAGTTTTAAAAGCTCCCTATGTGGATTTTGCCATACAACAGTACAGGTGCTTATTAAAAAGGTCTGACATTTACTCCAAATAACAACTGATACAAACTGACAAAGAATCCTGCAATGTATATTTGACACTAATTTTCTTAATTACTTTTTATCCTTATTTTCTCTCTAATTACTTTGTGGAACTTAGCTCTGGCATTTTGGTGTTGTTTTTTTAAAAAAACAAAGTGAGCCAAGCTTGTTACTGAATGGTTGATTGTGACAACCCATGCCACCAGCTAGTAAATGATCATAATCTCATTTTAAGTATTGTATTTGTCTGTGTAAGTCTTTTTGTTTGTCTCTTTATTTCCTTAAAATACAAGCCTTAATTATTCCTATATTCCATCTGCATTTCTAACATACCTGAGAAAACTGGACAGACCAGCATCAGATAAAGATGAAGGGTGAAAAGATGCTGGTAATGGGCTTAGCATCAAAAGACAGCAAAGAAATTTCCATCAGAAAGGCAAGAGCAGAAATACTGTGGAAGAATTCAGAGAAGTTCGTGTAGCTCATAAAAATTGTTCAGCTTCACTAAGTGCTTGCAACTCTTACTGACAAAAGAGTTGACAACATTAAATGCTACTGTGTTTTGTATGCAGAGAGCTAATGAAATATTTGCTGTTGACTTCATCCCTGCAGCCTAGTATGCCAACATATTGCCTTCCTTTCCACTCATTTTTTTAATACTCATGTTAAGATTTTTAGCTGCATAAGACAGTGTCTTGCCTGCAGTGGTGGACCATGGCAGGTTTTTTTCATGCTGACTTTTCCAAACAGAAGCCTGCCAAAGGGCACCTGAATTGAAAGTGTCCTGGTAGCTCTGAACTACTTTTCAGTGTCTGTAAGACTTGAAGAAATACATGTGGCTGATTTTGAAACAGATATTCCATTATAATACAGTAGACAAGTCCGTTATTTGAATATGAGAATCTTTGTTGCATTTCACTGTGGTCTGTGGCTGGATGTTGTTTCAGACTTTTTGAAGCTAGCTGGTGTTTTCCAAGCTCACTGGTATTGTTTGCAGGATAGCAGCTGACTGATAGTTAACTATTTGACCCCTAGGAAGGCCACTCCCTTATAAAGTGATTTATTAAATTATTAGAACAGCTGAAATTAACTTTATTGTATAGCATTAATAGATTGGTACTTCAAAGGAGTGTAAGGAAATAAAAAGTAATGTTTCTTACCAAGCTTTCTTCCACTTTCTGCTTACAAGTACAATGCTGCGATTCAGGTGGAACTTTGTCTTCCTTCCTCCACCTGTATCCAAGGGACCTTGCGAGAAAGAGTTTGCCAGGTAAAAGAAAACTAGAAAACTTCAGGAAGCCTCTTCATCCCTGACCGGGTGGGAACATGTCCAGACAAATTTGCTCTTGGAGCTACAGCCATGTCAATGTCTGAAAGGATGAATCTCTTTTTCTTCCTGAATACACCTTGCCCCAGAGCCCTGTAGCCTCGGTACACTTCTGACTGCACATTTGTCAGTACTGGCCTTTTCTTACCATGTCTGGGATTGCATATTTGGAAAGCAGGATTTTAGAATCTTACATCTCATTCCCAAATTAATCTTCAGCCAGTATCTAGTTTAACAGACATTAAATGATGTGTTCCCGTGGGAAAATAACAACATAAGCTTTATCTAAGTAAAAAATCTTATTAGGACACACTATCACATCTTTGTGCATGGGCAAGTATTTTGGGCTGTGTTGCAAGCCCTGATGTTGTAGGCCAAACAAAACATCTCCTTTGGGCATCATCTTAATGTTCATGCAAAGAAATTAACAGCATAGGCACATTATCAGGCATGAAATTTCTATGGCCAGAGGCTGCAAATCTACCTGTATGCTATAATCCTGATTTACACTCAGCTACTGTTGCAATAGTTACTCTGCTAATCATGGTTTCTGTACTGCTAGTTACCTTTTTGTTGTCCAAACTTAAAGCTATGGTAGAATACTACTCTTTTGGGGCTCTGATTTATACATCTGGGGATTCATTTGGAGGCTATTTAAGAGCTGGTCTGCTTTGCCTCTCTGCCAGGCATTACCTTGCATAGCAAAGGGTGCAGAATGGTGGTACATCATTAATACAACGTATTAAGGCAGGTTGATATCCGTACCAGTTTGCATGACTCAGTGGCCAAGGATTGTGTTGCTGTTGGGCAGCCTGTGCTGTAGCAGCAGTGATGTTCAGAAGGTTGAGGGGGGAGGCAGGAGGTGGGGCAACGTGAATCCTGGGGCGGTAATCACATAAAGCTTCTGGTTTGCATCGCCAGCACATGAATCAAAGCCTCTGAGCACTTCCATTTCATGTTTCACAGTGTGCCCAGGCACTTCTATTAAAGAAAAATCCATGACCCAGTTGGGGACTTTCTGGAACTCAGTGGTATTTGCAAAGAAATGTTCAGCTGAACTGTAATGTTAGGAAAAGCCTGCCTGTGCTATTAATTCCTTTTAAGTTCAGCTGATGAATCTTTTTTGTCCTGTGAGGTCAAAACTACTCCTTTGAGTATATGGCAGCACACAGGTTTCCTTCCCTTGCTCACCCTGATCAGATGTTGCACCGAGGATCTTCACTTTTCAAAAACTGAACATACAGTATGGTCTCTGCCCCTCTATTTGCTTGCATCTTTTCCAAGTGCTTTAAGTAGTCATTAGAAGGTTTCCCTGGCACTTGTTTTAAGTTTAATTTGTTCTGCATCCTCTTGATCTACCCAGGGGTATAATCTGTTCTGCATGTTCACACACCTTTGAAATTCTGTGGATCAGTACTGCATCCTCCTGCTCTCATCTTTGAAGAGGTGTCCAGTCAAACTAAATATACATAATATATTTATCTAATCTCAAATTTCCTGCTTGACAAATGATTCCTCCCCTGTTTAATACAGCTGAGTGTGTGGTTTCCAAGGAGTAGGTAGTGTCATCTGCCAAGCATCCCCCAGGTTGCTGCTAAAGAGGGACAGTAGAAGTAATCTTTATTTTTAATGAAAAAAAAAAAAAAAAGAAAGAAAAAGTAGAAGTTATCTCTTTATTGAAATCTTATTTTTTAATTGATTTTTTAAATTGTTTATTTTCTGTCAAGCAAATAATTTTGGCTGGCTTGTGTTCTCCATGCAAATATTATTTGATATGTCACAACACAGCTTCACTAATGGTAGTGATGAACCTTCTTAGCAGTACTTGGCAGAAAAGGCGAAGCCTACCACACTAGTTGTGAGTATTTAGATAGAACTTGTTTGACAGACTGATGAACTGGATAGCACTGAGGAGCTATAGTAACAAACCAACAGTGTTGTATATAGAATTTACGCAAAACAGATTTTTTTTTTTTCCCAAGTATTTGTAATAATGTTAGAGCAGATGTGTGAAGTAGTGTGACCAGAAACGGATAGGTTTGTTGGGTATTTACATTGACTGTCTTGCCTTATTTTAAAATAAAAAAGAAAATAAATTCATTTTCCTTGGTGTGTGTAATGTTTCTGTCCAGCCTCTAGGCTTTGTTTGCCACAGTATCATGGAGTTTGATTTATTGACAATAGATTGTCTCGTTCCTTTATTTCAAAGAGGTTTAGGCACAGTCTAACTCTTAGCATTGTCATAAAATAACAGATGGAAAGCCGAATTACATCACGTGCTACAGATGCAGTAGCCGAGCTTTGCTCACATTGGTGCAACAGCACCATGACTAGAGCTACTGAGACTGGATAAATCCAGTGGTCATCCTGTATCAGATGATGAACTGAAAGTCATATAACTCGATGTAATAAGATTTTCTGATCTCAGTGCTTCAGTCTGTTTTTTTGATAGCTTGTGAAATTCCTTTTCCAGATGATATCTGAGTTGTGTAGGCTGTTAAACATTGTCTGTATTTGCATTTTCCCCATCTATAGGTCATTTGGATCCAGGCTTCCTTGCAAGTGACAAAACCTCTTCTGGTAACGCCCAGATCAATGAAGAAATTAATATCGCCTCTTCAGATAGTGAAGTAGAGATTGTTGGAGTTCAGGAACATGCCAGGTATGAATTCCTTTTTTTCTCTTTTTCCACTTTTAGGTCTTTCATTTTATCAGAATGTCTGTATTGCCAAAATGAATAAAGAAAAAAACTGCTGACATCCACTTCTGTAGTTATCCATCCATGACTCATGACCCAAACCAGCAAAAGTTGCACTTGTTTTTTCTATTCTCATGGTCATGGTGATGTCAGAATGTTTTTCTTTAGAACATTAACAACTTCATATGTATTCAGATTAAGCTTGTGATTCGATATCAAATACTAACAGACAAAACATACATACTATTAAAATACCAATTACTGAGATACTAAATTTATATGCATCTGGAGCTACTGGTAGGAATTCATATTTTAAGGGCAGAGTGTGAATATGTAAATTCATAAACACCAATATTTATGTGGGCACTAGTTTCCTTTCAAAATATTTACTTACTTTAAGCATTTAATCAGCTTCCAGTTTATTTAATTAATCAGTAGTTGTAAAAATAGTATCAACTTTTCAATGGCAAACGTCATAAGATAGCCCCTTTAGATTAAATATCAGTTCCTTATGAATCTTGGCTTTATTTCCAGATACAGGAGAGTTCAGACCCCCAAAGCAGATGAGGGTATGTGTCATGGTTTGAGCTCAGAGGGCAACTGAGCACCACACAGCCGCTCATTCCTCCCATCTTCCCCAGCGATAAGAAGGGAAAAATAAGCCAGGCTTGGGATTCAAGATAGGACAGGGAGGGGCAAATCACCCATTATGGTCACAGGCAAAAGGCAGACTCGTTAGGGGAAGAAAAAAAGAAAATAGATCTATTACAGACACTAACAACAACAACACATAACAGAGTAGGACAGTGAGAAGCATTGCCACATCTTGAGAACACCTTCCCCCCACCCCTCCCTTCTTCCCGGGCTCAGCTCTGCTCCCGATATCTCTACCTCCTCCCCCAGTGGCACAGGGGCAGGGAATGGGGGGTGCAGTCAGTGCTGCCACTTCCCTTATCCTCGGTGAGGGGAGTGTCTGGAACGTGTTGCCCCTGCTCCATCGTGGTCCCCCTCTCACAGGAGACAGTCCTCCACAAACTTTCTCCGACTTGAATTCCTCCCATGGGCCACAGCGTTCCCCACACTGCTCCGTCATGGGTCACTAACTTCCTCCGACTGGATTCCCTCCCACGGCTGCAGCCCTTCCCGAGCTGCTCCGGCGTGGGACTCCCCCGCATGCTGCAATCCTCCCAGCACTGAATTACAGCAGCGGGGCTGCCTTTTCCCATGAGACCCCGGCCTGCTTTGGGTACAGCACATTGATCTTCCAGGTGAAAAGCACAGGCCATAAATCAGTGTCTGCTCCACTGTAGATCTTCATGGGTGGCAGGGGGGGGCTGCCCTGCTGTCTCCCCACAGGATACAGGGGGGTCTCTGCTCCGGCACACCTCCCCCCTCCTTTCTTCCCCCGTTCCTCCACTGACCTTGGTGTTCACGCAGCTGCAGCAACTCCTCCTCTGAAGTCCAACTGCCCGTCACCACGTCCCTTCTTAAATACGTTATCGCAGAGGTGCAGCTGATGGGCTCAGCCTTGGTGCAGAGGTGGGGCCAACTTGGAGCTGGGGGAGCTTCAAGAAGCTTCTCACAGGGGGCCGCCCCGATAGCCCCCTCCCCTGCCACCAAAAAAAAAAACCACCACTCACTCAAACCCAGGACAGTATGGAAGCTGGAGGTTTTCTCTCCAGCTCAGAAAGCTGTCTATCTGTGTTTCAGCTGTTTTTCTTCATAGGTGTTTTTTGATGTTACTCTTCATCTTCAGTCTTTGATCTTTCCTTGGCTTAAGGTATTATGAAGCAATTGAAGACGACTGGTGTTTTCATATAGTATGGAGGGATAATTTCGTGGAATAAAAGCAAGTTGAAACAATACAGACAAACTCTTTCTAAAACTCGTCTGCTGCTTGGTGGATGCTTGGAGGTGGAAAAGGGGTGTGAGGGACAAGGAACAGAGCTGTTCCTCCTTGTCCCTTCACTGCATCTGTCTTGAGGAATGGAAGAATAAAGGTGTGCAGGACTCAGTTTGCTGGGCAGGAAACTGTACAAATAGTGTGGGCACGCTCCAGTGCTGTTGGATGTGAAAAAAGGAAATTTTAAGGTGCCGAAGGAAAAGAGATTTAGCCCTTGCTTTTAGAATATTGAAAGTACTTGCATGGCTAACTCTTTTTGAAGACACGGAATCTTTAGCTTGCCTGGCTATTTATCCAGCAGACCCAGGGCTTGCAGGATCTTTGTTCTAATAAGCAGTGTGGACTTCTCCTCCAATACTAGTTCGTGTAAATCTGACTAGCACTATGTACACACAGCCCTTCTTCTTGAGATCCCCTAGTGTCATGGTTTAGGCTCAGAGGGCAACTGAGCACCACACACAGCCACTCACTCCTTCCCCCATCAGCGATGGGAGGAGAATATGACCACTTAAGGACAAGGAGGAGTCACTCACCCATTATGGTCACAGGCAAAAGACAGACTCCTTAGGGGAAGAAAAAGAAAACATCACTTTAATTCAAATGCTAACAAAGACAAGACTTAACAGACCAGGTGGGACAGTGAGAACCACCAACCACATCCAAAAAACACACCTCCCCCCACTCTGCTCCCCATCTCTCCCCCTCCTCCCCCAGCAGCACAGGGGCAGGGGATGGGGGTCACAGTCAGCTCCTGCTCGGGAGCTGGGGGGAACACCGCACTTCCCTCCCCTGCTCCACGGGGCTCCCCTCTCAATTCAGGCAGTTCTCCACGAACCTTCTCCAGTGTGAGTCCTCCCCACGGGCCGCAGCCGTTCCCGAGCTGCTCTGGCGTGGGTCCCCCCTGCGTGTTCCAGTCCTGCCAGCACCAAGCTACAATAGCAGGGGCATCTCATTTCCTCAGGCTCCTGGCTTACTGCAAGCACAGCCGCCTGTCCCAGAGTCACTTTCTTCTCGGGCTTCAGGTCGACCTCTGCTCTGCCATGGACCTCCATGGGTGGTGGTGGGGGCCCTGCCGTCTCCCCATGGGATACAGGGGTCTCTGCTCCGGCGCAGCTCCCCATTTCCTTCTCCTTCCTTCCACTGGCCTGGGTGTTTGTCATTCTCGCAACTCCTCCTCACAAGTCCCAACATCATCCCTGCTCCGCTGCCCAGGTCCCTTCTTAAATATGTTATTGCAGAGGTGCAGCCACCTTTGCTAATTGGCTCAGCCCTGGCCAGAGGTGGGGCTGACTTGGAGCTGGGGGAGCTCCGAGAAGCTTCTCACAGGGGACACAGCTGTAGCCCCCTCCCCCACCACCAAAAAACGCTCCACAGAAACCCAGCACATCTAGTCAAAAGCATTCCATGCTGCTTTCCTCAATACTTATCTTGTACAACAGTGAAAATTTTAAGTAAATGCAGTGTTGCTGTTTAAAATCAGTTTTAGTAGATACAGACTGAAATAATTTTGTCAAAGACAGACTTAAAGCACGCTTCTGTGCTTTCCTTTGCTCGTGTAATCATCTACCATCTCCCAAAGACTCATTCTTACTGGCTCCGTTGAATACTCACACATTTCAGTTGTTCAAATCCTATTTAGAATTTTATTTCTCTTGCGGGTCTGGGCTTGCGGTTATGAAGTATTGATGGACTTCTGACAGGGTTGTAGTTTTCTGGAAAAGGTTTAGGTTTTTGATCAGTATTTTTTGCATGTTTAGTCAGGATGCTGTTTGGATTCAGTTCTTTTGCTCACACTATTTTTTATCATGCTTCATATTCCGTGTTGTTGGGGTTATGTGAGTTGTGACACCCTGGAGTTTGTCCATCATTTTTAGTTTTTTGAATTTCTAGTGAATTGGTGGCATTTCTCATCATTGGAAGATTATTTGGCATCTACTTAGAACACCAAGTCATGTTTCTCAATTTGTTTAGTTTTTCTCCAGTAGATTTTATTTGCTTTATTATGCATGTATATAAAACAGCATTCCTCTGGTTTTTTCCTCTTTTTTTTTTTTTTCCCTCTCTTTTTTGATTGCCTTTACTTGGTATCCTCCCTTAGCTACAGATTGGAAGGCATGTTCCCTAAGCTAATGTTTGATTGAACATTTTTCTCTTGGCTGTTTGTGTGACTTGTTTGAGGATAAATACTTCTATTTTGGAAAAGGATTATTTTTATGAGATAATTTGTAGCTTGCTTTTTGTCATCATCAGGGAGGAAAGTTAGTATTAGCTTTGCCTAAGCACTGAGGACTGTTCTGTATCAGAACAATGGATCGTAGTCCCTGAGATTGATCATTGTATTTAATGTGCTTTGGCACCAAGCTTTTCTTGTCAGTTTTGTTTAAAAATATGTATTCTTAAAGCTTTTAAAAAAAAAAAATCCTCTACATTTGTTAGAGTTCCAGTCTTGTTTCTTTGTAGATACATACTTCAAGTATATATTTTTAAGACTGAAGAAGTAATAAAAAAGTCATTCTGAACATCACATCCAAAACTAAGTAGCATATTGGAGAAGGAAATCAGACATTTATATTCAGAGAAGTTAGAGCTCAGAGAATGAGATTTTTCATTCTATTTCATGAAACTCTAACCAGAGCTAAGAGAGATGTTCATAACCTAAGTAGTTCTGGGGGAAAAAATGGCACTACCTTAAGTATAAATGTCAGGGATATTTGACCAGTGCAGAAGCCTGTTTCCTGAAATCCAGTACACCTGTCTTCACAAAGAAGCAGGAAAAGGTTTCCCCAGCAGCCAAATGTCTCCTGCTATGTCTGCAGCCAGGAGCAGCTGCAGCCACCACCAGTGCTTACAAAAGCAAAACAACTTTTGGAGCACTAGGTACAAAGTTTTACTATCTCTTTGTTAAGATTCACAACAGGAAATGGAGTGAACATCTTAAAGATTCCAGTAAATTCTTGTGATTGCTTCATCACATAGCAAAATTAGGCTGTCTTTCATTCTGTTTTTTTCTAATTATTGTTAGCTTGTACTTCGATTGTTACATATCTATTATTAATATAATAGGTAAAATGCTGTGCAAATAAGTAGATATGTACCTCTCTTCAGCAAGGCACTTGAGTGTATGCTTATCTTTAAATACATGATTTAGTGTCATTGACTATAATCACTGAAAGCTTAAATATTTTGCTGAAGTAGGGCTGTACTGTTATCAGTGAGCATTTTCCAGCATGTTTGTAATTTTTAGCTAAGACCAAAGAAAAATCAAATCTAACGGCTGCAAAATGTCGTTACAAGATGTCTTTTGTAATTATTGTAATGAAAGCATCATTATGTCCTTATTTTAACATGGTTTTGATTTCATATAGAGAGCGCTTTTCTCTTTGTCTCATCAAGACTCACTTAAAATTTTTCTCTTTTAAAAAGTCCAGTGGGTAAAACTACTAGCAGGAAACTATGCTTCTGAATAATGCATGGTACTACATGTGATGGGTCAGACTTCAAGATCCTTGGGATCCATGCACATATTTTGTAAGGAATATCACTTTACACCCACTGGCAGAATTCAGTTCTTAAAAATAATTTAATCCTTACCACCCCCAAGTTTAAATTTAAGTTGTTTACTGGGTGTTTAAGATGTCATGAACTCTACAAACGGAAAATCCACAAGGACATTTTGGAGAGGGACATGTTAACAAGATGCCTAAGTGATGAAATTGTGCCTGAATTGAAAAAGTGATGAACTGAAAAGTGATGAAAATGTGCCTGAATTGAAGAGCAGCTTTAATCCTTTGTGTTTTTTGCCTTGCTACAGGTGTGTGCATCCCAGGGGAGGTGTGATTCAGAGTGTGTCTTCCTGGAAGCATGCCTCAGGCTCACAGTACATTAACACTCAGCAAACACAATCATGGACAGCTGTGACTCCCCAGCAGAATTGGTCTTCGCCCCCAGAAGTAGTAGACCTCACTTTGGATGAGGATACCAGACGCAAATATCTACTGTAATGCAGTGTCACTGTGTTTCTGTCCTTACCCCTTCTCCCCTTCGTTGCACAGAAGTTCGTTGTTGAAGTTTCAGCTTCAGGAGGCCTGTTCCTGGCATTATGAAATTCAAACTCATGAAGTTTTTGATTTCCATATGAATGTGGTGTAATTTCAATATAATTTAAAATGGTTTTGCCTTCTCGAAGGAGGATTCCTCCCAGAATTAAAACCCAATAGCACCCCATTTAAAACACAATTACAGTTACTAACGTGTGTGTTAATCTGAAGAAATAACTGTGCGCAAGCTTAGGTCCTCCCACCCTATCCCACCTCTGACTTCAGAACATTTTTAATTTATCAGTATATTGAGTTTGTTAGTAGAAGTTAGTGTTTTGCTGTGTGAGCATCAGTGATTTTGAGAAATGCTGTGTCCTCACTGATGTCAGTGGAACTGGGGGCATTCAACACTTCTGAAAATTGGGCCAAGAGTATTTATACTCAAGCTGATTAGGTTACATTACCAGCAGGAGAGGACTGTCTTTAATACAAATGGCCCATAACACATGCACTGAACAGCTTCTAATTAAAGGATTTTTATTTTCAATGTAATTTATAGTTTACAGTCTTCAGTGCTGAGTCTTCTCTCTACTTGACTACTGTTTCACTGATCATTTCCTACAGCTTGTTATAGCTCAAAATAGTAATAGTAGTGACTTAGTAACAGCTGATTATTGCAAAAGCACAAGAAAAAAAAGAGTAATAAAAAGACCCAGCATGCCTCTCCTTTCTAAATACAGCTGAACTTTTTTACCTCTATCTGAGTCTTGCCCGAAGTAGAAGTGAAACATTTTGCTCATAGTCTTCATTTCTTATTTGCTTCGTTGACCATCTCAAAAAAAAAAAAAAACAAAACAAACAAACAAACAAACAAAAAAAAACAAAAAAAAACACCACCACAACAACAAAAAAAAACACACAAAAAACCCCAAACCAACAACAGCAAACAACAAACAAACAGAAACCCAACAAAACAACCAACCTTGCAAAGCCTGAATCTGGCAAAGTACTTTAGCAGCTGTGTAGGTTCAGCTCAGACAGTTAGCTGAAACTCCTGGGGCCATCCAAGTGCTTAAACCTTTGCCCTAAAAGTTGTTGCAGGATCAGGGCCTATGGTTGTGATCTTTCTGTTTCTTTAAAAAAACTACATCGGCACCATTTTTCTGGTTTTAGCTCATATCTTTTATCCTAGTTTCGGAATTGTTTTTAGGCTATGATCCAGAAAGCACTTTTTGCCAGAATATTTACTGAAATCAGTGGAACTAACTTTAGCGGGCTGTAGTTCCTGTAGTGTATATGGAAATACCTGCCCCTCATCTATCATTTTGAGCCTTTCTCAAGGCAAAAACCAAAGATTAGACTTTAACAAGATGATACTCATTTTAAATGTCTGTTGTGCAATTAAAATGTTCCTCTGTATTCAAAATGTTTCTAGTGGGAATTTTGTACAGTGCTCTCATCAGATTTTTTAGCTGTTTAAGGCTGAACAGGGGATAGTCAGGACATAGGAAGTTCTGCTTTCTTTTTGTGTGGGCCGGTTTTTAAATTTATTGGCTTCCAATAATTCTATCTGTAGGCCAAAAAAAAAAAAAAATTACCTATGTTGTCACATACCTTAAAGGAAAAATTACGAGCAGTAGTGGTATAGATAGTAACAGCCAGCTTTTTCTTCAATAAGCAGAGCAGTTATGACTGCACTTTAAAGAACAACTAGGTAAGGGATTGATAGTCCAGTTTCAAGCTTTCTAAAGCATCGAACGTAAGTGTATTGCATGGCCAGAAAAATGTATGTAGTGCTTCTAGTGACTGATTTCTTTCTCTGGGGGCGGGAGGGAGCGGCGCATGGACGGAGCCCATTCGCACTGCAATAGGGAAAAGCCCTGTACTGTTGGGGCACTGTATCAGTAGTGGCTGTTGGTCTTTTCTCCTCATATTTTAATCATGCAACTCAGCCGTCATTTTAGTGGGCTAGCACACATGCTGTAAAGGCAACTTCGGAACGGTGGTTTAGTGTGGCTGCTTTTTCCTGTTTCACAGCGTCTTTTAAAGATCAGTTTTGAAGAAAGCTGCAGGGACCCATTTGTAGTCCTTCCATGAAAAATGCAAACTAACTCTCTTGTTTTTCAGTTTGTATATGATGTGACTTCCATGTATATATAAAAATGACTGTGTCCTAACCAAACTTCCTCCAATTGTGCACTGTGTTTGTTTAAACAATTCATGTATTGTAGTCTGATGCAGGTTTTCTTTTATTTAAAACACTATGTATTTTCTCTTAACAAATTTGAAAGGGTAGTGATCTGAAAACCACAATCACTGGATAACTAGGAAGTGGTTTTGTTGTTGTTTTTTTTTTTTTTCTTTTCTTTTTTTTGTTTTTGTTTTTTGTTTTGTTTTGTTTTTAAAAGAGAGCAAAAGGTGCCTGGATGTTTTTTCTCTTCTCAGCAGGAAAGACAAATGCTAGCCGTTGTATGGCTAAGAACCAGTGCACTTGGGGCCTGATCCAGAACCCACTGGAGTTGATGGAGGGCTTTCCATCAATTTCAGTGTGCATTGGCTCAAGCCCTTCATGGTTTAGCAGTTCCTGAATTGCTGGAGTGTGAACATGGAATCTACTCTAGTGAAGACAAATCATTGCTTAGAATATAAATGTTTAAAACGTGCGACTCTAGTTAAAAAAGTTGATTCTTCTTGACACTCATTATTTAGTTCTCATTTTCCACCTAGTATTTAATGGTCTTTGGAGAAAAAATAATAATAAAACAGAGTGTTATATATATATAAAAATATATATATTTTTGGTGCAAGATGAGACCTTCTGTTTTTTGAAACAAGTCTGTAGCATAAAGCTTAAACTATTTTAAGACAAAATAAAATAGAGTGTATTATTTAAACAATATCTATTTGTTTGGGATTTTTTTTTCCACTTTCATTCAACGTGCTTCAGTTTGTCACATCTCAAAAATGAAGGTTTAAGTTCCGGGAACGGGCTTACAGCTGCCCAGATTCGGCACGGTTGCCTGCTGCGACGCAGCGTTTTAGTTTTGAACATCCGGAACGGGAACGTGAATTCCTGACCACAGAAGCTTCCCCTTATCTCCCCGAGCGGGTCAGGACCACCGCTTCTCCCCCCGGTAGCGCTGGTGGGGGGCACCGGGGGGCTGGGACGAGCGGGCCGCTGCCCGTCGCGCTCCGCAGAATGCCTTCTAGGGACGCGGCTTCTGCACAGCCTCCATCTCCCCGCGCGTCACACCCCGTCGGGTGCCCGAGCAGCCTGCACACCGGCGTTTCTCCAACTGCCTCCCCTTGTCCCATCCTCCCGGCTGTCTTCCGCCTGGTCGGTAAGAGCGTGTGAGTAAGAGACCGCTGTTACGCTCGGGTTTTCTCACGCAGCCGGGTGGTGCTGGGAAGCTCAGATCTGCTGCCGTCTGGAATGGGTGCGTAGACCAGCTGTGAAGGTCTGGGCAGCTTCTCACAGACCCCAAGGGGTGGTGCCAGGCTGAACAGCGTTCGGAGAACCACCAAACCACAGCGGGGAATTTGCAGCCGCGAGTAAAGAGAAAGGATGGTAAGTTTAACTGCACTGTGCTAAACACGGTCCCACTGCCTGCCAGTCTTCTCATATCCAAAAAGGAAATAGGAATGATAACAATAATAATAAAGAAGAAGAAAGAAGAAAGAAGAAGAAGAAGAAGAAGAAGAAGAAGAAGAAGAAGAAGAAGAAGAAGAAGAAGAAGAAGAAGAAGAAGAAGAAGAAGAAGAAGAAGAAGAAGAAGAAGAAGAAGAAGAAGAAGAAGAAGAAGAAGAAGAAGAAGAAGAAGAAGAAGAAGAAGAAGAAGAAGAAGAAGAAGAAGAAGAAGAAGAAGAAGAAGAAGAAGAAAAGGAAGAAGAAGAAAGAAGAAGAAAATAAGGAAGAAGACAAGAAGAAAAGACAAGAAGAAAAATAGAAGAAAATGGAAGAAGGAAAGAAGAAAGAAGAAGAAAAGGAAGAAGAAGAAAAGAAAGAAAAAAAAGAAGAAGAAGAAAAAATAAAAGGAAGAAGAAGAAGAAAGAAGAAGAAAATAAGAGAAGGAAGAAGACAAGAAGAAAAGAAAAGGAAGAAGAAAAATAGAAGAAAATGGAAGAAGAAAAGAAGAAAGAAGAAGAAGAAAAGAAGAAGAAAAGAAAAGGAAGAAGAAGAAAATAATAATAAGAAGAAATAGTAGTAGTTTCCAGCTAATTAGGGAGTTTGCTTTAGTTCTGATGTTTTTATCACGTGAGAAGGCTGTCAGTGGTGAGAATAAGGAGAGCCATTTACTCACGTATTTTAAATGTCAAGATGCATGATGAGAGTCAAGTGAGGCGTCATTTTAGCCCCACTGAGTCCTTGGCTTTTGTGAAGTTTGAAAATAGAAATTCTGGGTCTGGTGGTGGTTCTGGAGGTAGATGCCAGGCTCGGATTTTATTTCATGTGTATCACCAGCTCTGCGGAGTTTGGTGCAGATGTGGGAAGGTAAGAGTTGACCTATCTCCTGAATCTTTTTTTCCTCCAGCACCAAGAGATACCCACAATCTTTGGACTTCAGGATACACCAAATGGAAAGCTTAAAATTCCTCCTGCAGCACTCAGCACCTTCCTCATGGCTCGGGCGACTCTGCTTTTCAATGCAGGAGTCAGTTGGCTTTGTGGGAATTGTCATTCTTGGGGCAATACAAGAACTGACAAAAACTACCCAAACAGGTTAGATTTTCTGTTGCTTTGCCCAGTGAAATCATTGCAATACGGATTAATTTTGTGACTGCAAATTTAGTTTGTCTGCCTTAAAATTGGAACTCAAAGGGTTCTGCTAAGTGGATTAGCTCCCCAGTTCCCTGGAGAATCTGCAAATGGTGTCCTTTGCTGAGCACATCATCCATCCCCCTTTGCTGAAATACTGCTTGGTTTTGCCTCTCCTTTTTAGGGTCATCATCTGTGAATGTCAGCTGCTCTGTGGCTTTCTCTCCAGAGCATCACAGGGATGCAGTTTCCCTTCCATCTGCAGAGGAAAGGAACAGCATGCCTGCAAAACTCAAACTTGCAATGAACAAACCCTGCATCTACTTTTGTCCTTGGTGCAAATAAGGTGAACGTCTTCCTTTTACTGAAACTAAACATCAGATGAGGATCCAACCCCCCTCCCCCGGTCTACAGCTTGATACCAGGGAGTTTATGAAAAGTATAAATGAACTCCTGAGAGTCCTTATGACTACTGATTTATACACGCCCATTGGAAGTTTTCTCTTGGAGCTGGTTAGTCATCTGGATTTGCAATTCAGTTTAAAATTAGAATTGAGTGCCAGCTACTGGGAAGGAAGGATCTTTCAGACAGTAAATCTTAGGACAAAGCTGGAGTGGGCAGGGGAAAACTGAAAGTTTAATTTCAGATGACTTTCTACATTTACTAGCTGCATCAGCAACTTCGGGTGAATCCAGGGCAATCACATCAGAGCTGGAAAAAGAAACAAGTAAGAGCCCTCTGTCAAATTAATTTTTCATTGCTGTAGGTGATGCAGTTGAATGCAGAGCTCCTGGAGCCTGACTGGTGCCTTTTCCGGGGGGTTCCTATGTGTGCCTCTGACAAAATGCTGTCTCATACAGCTGAGGATCACGTTTGCTTTGTCCATGGCTTCACAGCATCGACAGCTTTTGGCTGGCCCACAGTCAAGGACACAGAAATCTTTCCCATTTCCATTCTGCCAGGTCCTTGTGTGTCTACCCTACACTGGGCACTACTGAACTCCCGCGTGATGTCCCTCACTCCAGCCCATCTGACCTCATCCGTGTCTTCCAGTGTTGGCAGCGCTGCTGCAGAACTCTGTGTGATCAGCAGGTTTTAGTAGAAATCTCCAACTCTGTATGCCAAAGTCACTCGTAGAAGTAGTGGCTTTCCACTGCTTCCTTGGAAATGTATCTTTTCTAATGCTACCACCAGCAGATTTAATTATCTGTATCCTAAAATGCTCTTGATTTTCACCCCCATCGTTACAACTGTAGTCCTCCGGATGCCCCAGTGTTTGGCAGCATGGATGTGCAGGGGAGGCTGGCATTTCAAAACAGGGCACATTCAAATCCCTCCCCCCTCTGGGGTTGTACCTACGTAGGAGATGTTTATCTGTGGTGTTATGAGCTGGCAGTGGTCCTGTAAACCCAAAGAGGAGCTTTCAACTCAGAGGTGGTTGGCTGGAGTGATGCTTTTAAGATCCTAACAGGAAATGTGTCACTTGTGTTATGTGTTCTCACTCAAAGCTCATCTTACCTGGCACAGGATATGACAGAGATTCATGAAAGGGTAATTTTCTTCCTTTTCCACATGATTACACTTCCCATTCTGGTCCATTTATTCACACTATTCTTGGGCTGCGTGCGACAAAAGTACCAAATAAAAATACCCCTTGCAGCAGCTCTACCAGTTACAAATCACGAGCCGAGTGCCTCTGATTTATTTTCTGACACCTCACTAACGCACTTCTCTTCTTCTAATGTTTTACAGCTCTAATGGGATCCATCATCTGTGTGAAGAGCCAAGGCAAAGCCCTCCACAATGCAGCGATGCACTGGAAACCATCTCCTTGTGTGGACTTCCCTT